AGTAGCGCCTCCTGATATCTAGCCTAAATCTACCCTCTGTTGTCACCTCTGTTGGGGCCTTGGCCTATTCAGCCCCTGCCCCTTTAATGTGGCTAGACCATCTAGCCTAAGCCCACTGTGTTGGACCTGGCTTTGAGGCACTAGTTCAGATCCCTCCTTTCCTGTCGCTGGGGAACTGGCCCCTGTCTGCTGCACACCTGTGGTGCCAGGCTGTCTGGCCCCCATCTCTCTGGACCTTGCACTATTTGCCAGTCTCCACTATGGCTCAATACTCACTGGAGCCTTAAGCCTGCCCTTGGCAGTGCTCAAGGCACTTATGTGCCTCTGGGCACTAATGAGGCCTCCAAACCTCCACTTTTAAGCCTCATCCAAACCTCCATTTGAAACTACAACATAAACACTAAAAACCAAATAATCAAGGCAGCGCACCTGCTTCCCCCATGGCTCCTTCTCTCTGGGTCACTCTCTCCTGTGCCTGCAGAGCTATTTTCTTTTGGTCTCCCGGAGCCTACACGCTGCCTCAGCCTGGGCTGGTTGGCCCCCATTGGCTGAACCCAGGGCTTATACAGCTCTGGCCTGAGCTTGCTTTTAGTTAGGTGATAGTCCCCAGTCAGCTGACCAGCCTGCAGGGCTACCTTTTAACTCAGGGGTCAGCAAAATGATGGATCTGGCTGGCAGCAGGACTCCATTTCCCAGCAGCCCCTGCCCACATGGCTGGGGCCAGTCTCCATGGAGCCCCCAGCTACAGCTGTGCTGTGATAGGGCAAAGCTGGGATTGCCATGGAGACTGGTCCCAGCTGCGCTGGCAGGGCAAGGCAGAGCAGGGGGCTGCTCTGGAGCCATTGGGATCTTGCAGTGGGGGCAGCTGGGTCTGGGCCTAGGGCAGACTCGCAACCTGCAGCCTGCATGCTCTGGACAGGGACGTGCAGGCAGCCGATTGCAGCTCTTCCCTGCCTTGGGACCAGACTGTCACCGCTGCAAGGAGCTGGAGTAGAGCCGCGTCCCACTGCCTGCACGACCCTGCCCGGTGCATGCAGGCTGCAGATCACAGCTCTGCCCTGGCCTCGGACCAGGCTGCCCCCGCCACAAGATCCCAGCAGCTCCGGAGCAGCTCCCTGCCCTGTTCTGCTGCATGCCTTGCTAGCGCAGCTGGCACCGGTCTTCATGGCAACCCCAGCCTTGCGCTATCACAGTGCAGGTGTGGCTGGGGTCTCCATGGAGACCAGCCCCAGCCATGTGAGCAGGGGCTGCAGGGAAATGGTGTCCACTGCCAGCCCACAGGCCAGACTCTAACCCCTGCTCTGGTGGCAGGCTGTGCCCTGAAGACTATCCTTAAAGGGGCTGCCCCACAGGGCTAGGGTTCCCTGTTGCACAGGGACATAATTGTCTGGGAAATCCTAGAAAATGAGCTAAAACCTACATGTGAGGTAGGTCATTCTCTATTAAATGCTGTATGTCCTAGCACAATTTCTGCTGCAACCTATTTACTTCTTTGTAAGTCCCCAGGTGGTTCATCCCAGATTAAATTGTATGGAGCTTTTCCATAAGGGATGGCACATAAAAAGTGAGCTACGCATTAAGCATAGAAGGATGTGCTGAATACCCTCAATGGCCAAACCTTGTGGGAAAGTCAGCATGGAAATAAATATGAATGCACCTTTCATTAAGTTCTTAATTGCGCCTGCCAAGATACTAGGGGTGAAAGCGCCTCTGTGCAGAGAGCCAGCATTGAGGCCTTGTTAAATCCTTAAAATAGAGATTAAGTGCGGGTTAAGTGGTGCACAGAAGTTGTGCTCACCCTCGACAGCATGGCAGCAGATTTCACCTTTAATCAGTGCCACGTGCAGGACTCGCTACTGATGCCCCAGAAAGAATGGTCTCGTGATTCAGGCACTAATGTCACCCCTGCAAGACCGGGTACACTACCTCTGCCACAGGCACTCCATGTGGGTTTGGGCAAGTCGCTTCATCTTTCTAGGCTTCTGCTCTTTCAGCAGTCTGCAAGACACCCGTGAGGTAGGGAAGGGCTATTTCTCCCACCTCCATTTTTCACACAGGGAAACGGAGGCACAGAATGTTTGAGGGGATTGCCAGAGTTGCATGGGGAAAACTCAGGTTTTCTTAGTTTTAGACAGGTGCTTTACCCAAGAGACCCAAGCAATAATTGAGCTTTTATAACCTACGTGATGGCCTGACACTTTGTGGGAAACTTGCCCGTTGTGGGCATTACTGAGAATATCTTTATGAAGCAAGAATATCTTTTATGGGTGATATCTTTTACTGGACCAATTGCCTGGTTTGGATAGACCTAGACAAGCTTCTGAATGCAGTGCGAGGCTAATTTTATGTGCGTCGACAATGAACGCTGCACAAAAGACCAGGCGTCTCAGACAGCTACCTGTTTTGTTTGATTTCTCCAAAGCACCCCCAAATACGTAGAGAGCAAACCTGCTATATCTTTGTTAGGGGACCACCTGCATTAAGAAGCAGATGCCTGTCAGCTCTTTGAGCTGTCGCTTGAGGCAGATTTCACTCTGTTTGCTGAATACTCCCTCCAGGGCAGTTTGCAGAGTTTATGTAGTGCATATCCCTGTGGTTAGCTCACTTTGACTTTCCCTGTGCAGATCATCTTTAATAAGCCACTGGTAATAATACTGTTAAAGTGCATTTTGAGATTCCGGGTAGATTGCATTGCTATTCATTACCAGCAGTGATAAGAGTAGTTTCAGGCCCCAAAATATAGTATGTTTGCCCCTGTGGTCTATTGCTCCCCAGCTTTTTGGCAAATTTATCGTCCTAAGCGCTTGCTCTGTCAGTTCAATCCCTTGAGGGATATCAGCTTGACACTGATCTGCCAACCTATTAGCAGTATGCCGCCTAATGGGATCTGCCAATGAGGGTCTCGATAAAGTGTATACGGTTGAATAAATTTTACTGAGGCTGTTAAAAGCCTGACTCCATAGGCATTCAGGACCAAATGAAAGAGATTGGTGACAACACAGCTGGTGAGAGACTTGATCAGGAGACTCTGAGACCCTGGGGACTGTAATTTTGCCTGCTGTTAGACAACTAGAGCAAATAAAATGCATGGGGTGGAATGGCAAGCCAGAAGGGCTTAAAAACTTTTTTTATCCTGTCATTTGGCAACATGTTCCTGAGTCGTTGCAGATTCTCCCATTCTACCTGCTGGAATCCAGTTCAGAATCCAGCATTGCCAATAAGAAAAGGTAGCTGTTTGCCCATCGACCTCGGCTTTTCCGTATACTACAATAATTTTAATTAAAAACAGTGAAAAGATGGCATGATGTCTCCCATCCCTTTCAGTGGGCATGTATATTGCTGTGAAATATGCCCAGCATCATGCAAGTGCCTTTTGAGGACTATCTCTGTAGGCAGAAAAGTCAGAAAGAGTAGGATGTGGGGCGATAGACTTGTACAGTATGCCCTGGAGAGGGATACATAAAGCTAAACTAGCTACTTAAAGCCACTTATAAATGGCAGCCACTGTACTGACTACTTAGAGTGCTTAGTTTATAAACAATTTAATAATACAGATTATAAGTAAATAGTGTCTGCTAAGTGCAGATAAGTCCGCTCCAGGTAATCTATCGGTGCAGAATGTCATTAAGTTAATGTTCAGCTATGCACTTCCCTAAACATACAATGTGCTGCATTGTCAATTCAGTTTTTCATTTTAAACAACCCCTGCCCCCTAGCAGCTTACTGTAGATCTCTTG